GTAAAAAAATCATTTTGATGAATTTCGAGAAAATAAAGTCATTTTCATTACTTACTAGTAATTACCTTTCTATGGTAAAAGTTTGAGGGAAAACTATTTTCTGACCCGAAATGCAGTGGGCCGCTTTTACAGAGACTGCCTCTTAAGTGTCTAGTCGTTTTAGCGCTTTCGCACTAATTGGGGACACTTTTCGCTCACACGCACTACCACTACATTTAATATCCTATGCACACAACGCTCAACTCAACTCAACTCAACAATGTGTGGCCCAAGCAATCMTCCCCTCACCTGAACACTTGCACAACAATAGAAGATTGTCAAGCTTTTTCTCCAAGCTGCTAATCTTCCTCGTCAAGGCTGTAAATGAACATTGGTTGGATCCAAGGTCTACGTACTTTCCCTCAACAGTCATACATAATACGACCAAAACGAACAAGACTGAGAGTCTAAACATCGCGGTTTAGTCCGGTATGTGTTCTTCTCAAAATGTTGTATCAACGAAAAGGTTCACGACAAACGCGGAAAAAGACCGAAAAATTTTCGAGTTTCAACGTGAAAAATGTCAATTGTTAAAGAATTGTCACTGCGTATAGGGAATAAATGTCAAAAGCTGTCAGTTTTAAAAGTCGAGCGTAATCTTGCAATCTGATTGGCTGATAGCTATGATCAATAAAAGGACAGACCGATAGAAAGACAAATCGCAAGCGTACGCACCGAGTGCGCGCTTGAAATCGTTTTTTTAAGAACCGTTTTCCTTGTTTTTTATTTTGTTATTGTTAAAAAAATCGCTCATATTGATTGTCGTCTTGTAGATCATGGATGACGTCTTAAAATGGTCATGAAATTGAACTAAAATCGTTTAGCAATTATTTGCCGAAGGCGAAGTGAATATCGGGGAATATTTACCGAGACGCGAGTCTTCGAGCGGCGAGGTAAATATTCTCCATATCCACTGATAGGAATGGCATTTACTTTCATTTTTTCAATTTCCTCATCGGAAATTGCAGCAAATTGATTGCCGGCAGATTCCATTTTATTGCCGACTCAATATTTCGAGATTCAGAGGTGAATATCGTACAATATTCACCTCCAATTAACCAATGAGCGCGCGCGTTCTTAGGAAGTACACAAGTGGTATATGCTAAATTTAACAAATTTACGATGGTTGAGCGTGGTATGTCTTCTTATTTACCACGATATGACGTCAAAAGTTGGTCAAAATGTTATGGACTCACGAGGCGTAAGCCGAGTGGGTCCATAACTAATTTTGACCAACGTTTGGCGTCATATCGTGGTAAATAAGAGGACATACCAC